TTTTTTTTTTTTTCCTAATGTTTTTTTTTTTTGTAATGTACATAGCTAGACCGACATGTTTGACCACTGCGTGAGTGATCGCCGCGTCAAATTGAAAATAGCCTACGCGTCTCGTGACCATTTTTTTCATTCCATTGCCTGCGTTTTCTTCCCTTTTATTTCAGCGTTTTCTTTTAGCCTTCAATTCCTGTATGTGTAGAGGCTTTCAAAGCCACTGTAACAGCTTGAAAAATACATATTTAACAATGAAGTAACATATTGGTATTTTGGAGATTTTCTTAGTAGCTAGGCTATATAAGAACTGATTGCAAACAATTTCAACTTGTTAACACGCTGTTCTGTAAAAAATGTTACATTAGCCTACTTTTGATTGGGGTCAAGACCCAGACATACAAAATGAATAAACATTAGTTGTTTATTATAATTTCTTCGATTATATTTTTCTACAATGTGTTTTTCAGAGTTACTAATAAAAAGCTTACAGCTAAAGCCTAGGCTACCATACATTTTCCAGCATAGTTACTCCGGAATACCCAAACATAAAAAAACAGGTAATTCTTTCTGCTATTTAAAAATTATTCCAACTGAAATGTAGAGAAAGTTCTACTGTTAACATGAATTGACTGGAGTTCAATTAAGACTTCAATTCAATCTTCAACATAAGACTGGAGTTGTCCATTTGTCTTACCTCATATGGGACAGTGTGTCAATGGCAGGGAAAAACGGAAGTTCGCACGTTCAGTGAAAGTTTTTGTCAGGTAGTGATTTGGGAATAGGTTGGGCTAAACGGTCTGGAGGTCGCATATAAAAACTTCTCCAAACGCCTCTCCATCATAGCGTATATATACAGACACACACAGACTCAGTCTGTCGAAGTCAAGATGCTCGGAAGCGATGTGCTGTTGTGCTTCATCTTCTACAGCACGCTCCTAATCTTAAAGATGTACATCATTGCCATCATCACGGGCCAAGTGAGACTTAGGAAAAAGGTAAGTTGTGAAACTTTTTATTCGTACTTGTAAAAATAGTTTTCATGCTACTGCATCAGACACACCGACGTGTCACTGCTACACAGTCGCGTTCCTTATGGAAGCGTTTCTTTGTCGCGTCGAGCGTGTGGAGTGTTTTTGTTTTGAATAGAAATCCGTATAGTCTGCATACTGCAGCTGTCTGGATTAACTTCTGAAATCAATTAAGGTATAGTTGGTCAGATATGTGTTTTAATAGAATGACTTGACATTTAGATTTATGTGTAAAACAGATGTGTATTTGACAGGCGTTTGCTAATTCAGAGGACGCTGAGAGACACGGAGGTGTGCAGTTTTGCCGCACTGATCCATATGTGGAACGCTGTAGGAGGTAAGAGCACAATACTACATGCTACTAATTAGCAGAGGTGTAAAGAGTACCTAAAAACCATACTTGATGTAATAGGCAGTATCACGTCTTTTGTAGCAGAAATAAACTGCTGCAGAAAAAGCTAGGTCCATGCAAAATTTAATGTGTAACTGCAACACTCATTTCAAATGTAGTGGAGTAAAGAATACAGATACTCATTCAAAAATGTAGTGAAGTAAAGAGTAAAAGCTGCTAATATCTTTGATACTCAGTACGACTACAAAGTATCCAAAAAGATACTCAAGTACAGTAACTAATTACATTTACTCCAATACTTTACACCTCTGCTAATTAGAGTGCAACTCCACAAACATGGATATAGGCTACACTAAAAAAAAATTTCTGCCATGTTACACCTATTGCATGCCAGTATTAATGAATTACTAACATCAGCAATATAAATGAAACAGCTTTAAAGAAAGTTAGTAAATGTTAATTTAGTTACTCTCTCTCTCTATATATATATAATTTATATATAAAAAAAGGATTTGCTTGTGATGTCATTAAGTTCATGTGAGAAACATTTGATGATATGTACATTAGGGGAATGTCTATTAGGGGGTTTATGTTGCATTTTTATTTAACATATAGTTTTGGTACACTGTCACTGTAATTTTGTACAGTGAATTTCTGGCATTTTTTAATATAACTATTATCCGATTTTTTTATACTTTGTAAGGTATTTACTATTTAATTTTCATAATTTCCATGTACATGTTTTCCATTTATCTTCAAAAATTAATTTTCATTTTTTTCTATTCACATGGTTTCAATTTTCTGACTGGAATATTTTAAAGTTAGTGTTTCTTGTCTGTAAAAACATTGCGTGTCTATTGGGAAAGTTAAGCTTCAGTCTTTTTCCCAGTGGGCCCATATAGTTGGAAAAACTGCAGGATGTCTGGCAGATGTCCTTTAGCTATTTTCTGTAGTGTCGAAATCTTCGGAAAAAGAATACAGGTATGACAGATATGTGTGAAAGTTCACAGGTCCACAATAGGAAGTACATTATAATCCATAATAGACTACATGTAGCTAAGATATCTTTATTTTCCCAGTTGTATTATTTTTAGTCAAAAGTTATAAAGGTACACAGTCTCCATGCCAGTTAGCTCGAATTCGTTTCCACAGCAGACTCTTCTCAGTATCTGTATTTATGTATGTGAGCGCATGAGAGAAAGAGAGACAATGTATTATGAGACTACACACTTTAAAACAATCATAGACTTGGCTGCCTGTTAGGAAACATTCATTACTTTAAGCTGCAGGCCACTGCAGGGTACTTCATTGTTTGTTTGGCAGTTTCTAACTTATCTTAGGAAACTTGCCTGCTCTGCCCAGTCACAGCCCATTCCACTCTACATCTGCACAATCTGAAAATGATGATGTTATTTCAGTAGACTGCTCTGAAATCACTCAATTTATATGTTGGCACCGGAAATTCTTGTTTCCAGTAAATAAATAAAGAAGGGTATTCACTGATGTGTCCTGAGAATAGCTTGTAGTTGCCAAATTGGTAATTTGACCTTAATTGCAATGCATTCACAAAGGTATTTCACTACAACCCTGTGGCTAACAAATATCTACAAGTGAACAGAAGCAGGAAGACAGTGTTAAATAGAACTAACGGTTGAAAATTCTTGTTTGGATCAACAACTTTGTTTGAAACCAAAAATGGTTTCAGTGACAAACAGACACATTCTTGATCTTCTGAGAAGCCTACAGAAGGAAAAACAAGACATTTCAATAACCTGTTCGATTATTATCTTATATTCATATTATATTATTATAAATCACCATAATCTTTATTAATATAATTATTATATTTTATTAAAATCATTATTAATATTATTTAGTTGCAAAGCAATTTGGCAGATTAATATAGAATTGAAAAGATGTGTGGTCACAGGGGGTGCGTATATCAGCTATTTAGCTATCACTTTAAACCTGTTGCATACAATCAAGATTATTTATCAGGATCTAAAACGAAAACATTTTCTAATAATGGATGTGGAAAATGGTGATTAACACACAAGTGAAAGTTATTTCCTCTTTTGAAATTGAATCCCAGCAGGAAATTACTTATAATGCACTTTGGGCAACTTAGTTGCTATTAAATGTGCTATAAATAAATAAATAAAGTTGAAGTTGAAGTATAATGGAAAGTCCTTGTTGCGTCAAAGAGATGAGGAAGAATCTGTGTAATGCAGGATTTCACAAGGATGAC